TTATATATGTTTTGGTAAGGTTTTGTTGTGACAGATGAAATGCTGAATTACACATCTTTCTAGAGGTGTCTGATAAAATCGTTTGCTGTTCTTATAAATTGTTCATGATGTCCATAGAACCTATCTCGTTATACAAATTACATATGTAAATGTTTAATATAACATGCATTTCTTAGTTTGACAGAGCTAAGTGTATTTGTATTCCATCTTAGTAATGTGATCTTATTTGTTACAAAATATGCAAACATTTTGCAAGACTGTATCTATCGCACAGGTTCTCACAATTTACTCGAATCTTACAAATCACGAATCGTTTGATTTCCAAAATTCTGGGCCTGCAAATCACCTGCGGTAACTCTCATGGTTTAAAGTGCTAAAATTCAGGTTTCGATACTTGCGATGGGGAGATCACATATAGTTCATTGTGCAGCTTCGTGCTTCATACAGACCAAATAAACCAAAATTTGGGAGAAACTGGTTCTAAATTTTAATTAACATTCACAGTTGCAATTAACGATTGCATTAGTTCTGTATTTTATGCTCTAAGTATTTACAGTGGCCATGAAATCAACTTGACTCAATGACTTTATACCCGTGGTTTCTATACGTTTTTACACTAATTGTAGAAAGCAAACATATAATTTCTTTAGAAAGTTGGATGTGTTTAAAGGTGTAATAACATAATCTGCACTAAAAAATGTTTAAATCACGATACAATGAAACCAAAACCTTTAATTTTTTCGTGTTTTTAGCGCAAAATTACACAATAGGTTTTTAGCGTTGGAAGTTCGTAAACTAATCGCTGATCCATCAGGGGAACCAAAACATCTAAAGACAATCAACATTTATGTCAGTTTGTTTGTTTTGCATTCAAGCACAGACAATGGGCTATTTGTGCTATTTCCACAGAGGGTATTGAGTTTAGCGTTATAAACCCTCAAGCTTATCGCTGAGCCATCGTTGGGCTATTAATGTGAGAAAAAACTTTACGACACAATACAAACTGCACAGATGTCAGAGTTTGTTCCAGTCTGTCACGGTAGGAATATATTTATTGACACATCACTGTCTCTATAATGAGCTCCCTCATTATCTCAATTGCCAAGAAGCTGAGCCTATTTTGCCAAGCTCATGTGTGAGTGATCCCAATTATACATAAGCACTTTCCCAATAAAATGACGATCTTTACTTTTATCACAAACCATAAAATATTTTAAGATTATCGAAGTCAATCATAGGCTTGGTTTCTTTTGAATTTCGCGCAAAGCTACACGAGGACTATCTGTGCTAGCCGTCCTTAATTTAGCAGTGAAAGAATAGAGGGAAGGCAGCTAGTCATCACCACCCACCGCTAACTCTTGAGCTACTCTTTTACCAACGAATAGTGGGATTAATCGTCACATTATAATGCCCCCACGGCTGAAAGAGCGAGCATGTTTGTTGGGACAGGGATTCGAACCCGCGACCCTCAGATTGCGAATCAAGCGCCTTAATCACCTGGCCATGCCGGATCAAGTCATAGGCGGCGGAACCAGTGGGAATCATTGAGGAGATGTGCCCCCAACTTTTAACTCGGTAGCGAAGTGCCCCTTTCAAGGGAAATAGACACTTCTGTACAAGTATGAGGGGAATTCGCTGTTTCATCTTTGAATTCAATGGCCACGGCTAACATAGCCAATAGGGTGCGCTCCCAAAATTAAATTTGTCCCGCTGCTTGTGAGAAAAGCCATAATACTTAATCGCTATAAGAATGCCTTTTTTATATATTTTTCTTATCTGTCCTATTTACGTGTGCAATATATAAGAACTCAAACAGTCACGTGTTAAAAAACACACATAAAAGTAATGCTTTGTTGCTCCCTTCAACAGTGTTAGCAATGCTGCAGAGGCGGATCCAGGAAAAAAATTATACTAATAACACAAAGCGGGGTAAAATTGGTGGCGTTTCTTCTCTAAAGAAAATA